ACTCACCCTTTCCAGAGATTTAAGAAGATTCTGCCTCTCCTTTAGCTTTTGGATGCTGATTACGATTTTGTGTCGTGCGCCTTTGGTAACGTTCTGCAATGGAAACACAGGAATCCCTGTTAAGCACGTACATACGGATGTCAATCTCCCCAAGGAAATGGGGCTACCCATTACATTTAGCCGAGAATCGGAGAAAAACAGAGTTGGAAGGGGGGCCTCTAAGGCCACCCAGTCCAACCCCCTGCTCAAGGCAGGAATCCAAATCAAAGCAGATCTGACAGAGGATTATTCCATTTTCCTCTTGAAGGCCCCCACCTTTGGAGGGCTCACCACCTCCAGAAGTCATCAGTTCCACTGTTGTACTGCTCTAACGGTTACGAAGTTTTTCGATTAAGAAGTCTCCCCCCTGATATTCAGCCTAAAAGTGGCTTTCTGTAGCTTGAGTCCATTATTATGCCTAGGTCTTTTCTAATTGGGGGTGATTCTAATTCCAGTGGATGGGGTTGCTTGCGTAAGTACAGTGTGTCTTACAATGCTAGCAAAAGCTACTATTTTGGACACCAATTCCCAGAATGCTCCAGAGAGTGTGGCCATGCATCACTTCTGCTTGGAAGAGTCTGGAATTCGGAGAAATATTTCCTCATTTTTCTAAGGCTAATTTCCCCCAAGCAGGGCCGTTACACGGGCCCCGCCATTGCCCTTCTAGACATTACTTGGTAGTCCAACTTACTTGTGCCTCAAGCTGACTTTCCGTCAGGGCCATCATTTCATCGTACGTCATCTGGGAGAAAAGGGCAGCGTATTTATGGAGGCGCAGACTTTTGAGCCACGCAGGGACGTCTGGAAATGAAACAAGACAAGTGTGACAATTAAATACCATGTTTTGGGGTGAGGGGGAAATCACAAGAAAGTTGAACAGCCTAACACAGAGACCAGGGGCGGGTGGGCGGTAAAAAATCACATTTTAACTGGCAACCACAGAGTACATTCTTTCAGACCGCGATGTCAGGAATCCTTATTGTCATGATGGGATATCTCATCCAACCCAGGCGTTCTTAACAGGAAGGCGTTCTTAATGACTGCTATTTATGACCTGTGTTATCTGCTTTTCTGTGGGGATATCAGGAGATGCCAAGCTTTCTGTGACATGCTTTGCGTTACTACTGTACATAGCATGAAATAGTGTTATACAGAGAAATACCTAGCGTTACTTGAAGAATGGCCTGGGGTACGGAAGGGTCTTTGTATCTTCTAGCTGGGAAGCGAAACTGTAGAGGTTCAGATTGAGACTGATATGGGCCTGAGGACAACCAGCAACAATGCAGAGGAAGACAGGATAAAGACCCTGAAACAAGGTTCTCCTTGGTGCATATGGTCGGACTCAGATACTTCAGGACCCAGGACAGCTCCCAGGGATTGTAGAAGTTGCTCCAAGACTGGTCACAGGGCCATAAAGAAGTCCCAGCATTTTCACGCAAGGCAGCCAAAGCCTCAATCTGTGGGTGAAGTCGCACTACAGCTTGAAGCATTTTGGGTACTGTGTCTAGTGCAGGCAACACACAGCCTTGCAACACATGCTCTAGAACAGTGGTCCCCAACCTTGGGCCTCTAGATGTTCTTGGAGTTTCCTTGTTTTCTAATGTTCTCAGCTGGACTCACACCACAAGTCCAAGATTTGGCATTTACTTATCCTTTAGTCCCCAGCAGGACGTCCTGCTGCAGAATCTACCAAACCGACACAATAGGCATTTTGGGGCACGATCACCAAACGGGTAATAATCCATTTCCTCAGGTGTAAGTGGCTGGTCATGGGCAAATTTTTGTTTTTTTTAAACCAACCACCACCCCCAACTCACCTGTTCTGTCTGTAAAAGGTCTACTGACAAAATCACTAACGTCAACAAGTCTACTGGCTGTGGCCACTGGGGTACTAACGTCACCTATGTCCCAGGCTCTTTAATGCCGCAAAAAAACAAACCAAATGCAACAAAACCAAAATCAAATCTTCCCCACATTCTATCCTATACTAATGTTTTATCAGGATACACCATGCTGCATCCATTTTGTCCACTCCTGTGCTAGTGTAAACAGTTAAATAAATTGGATTTTATAGTCTATTGTGGAGGTACTGCTCACAATAACAAACGAGGGAGGCAAAACAGCTTCTCCGTGTCTAGAAAAAAAAAAGACTGGGTGTTTTTCACACTCCTGGAAGCTCCAGATTCAGCAATTTTTGCATGGGGAGGCGTTTGCTGCCTGTTAAACCTCCCCGTGTCCACCCCCCCCAAGAGCAAAACTGGAAGTAAATTCCTGGCCCCATCCACTGAAATTTTGCGGTTTCGGGTGAAATCCTGTGACAGCCTAAGAAAAGTCCTGTTGGACCAGACCAAACATTTTCCATCAGAGCTTGGAAAAGTTACTTTTTGGGGGATTACATCTTCAGACTGAAGCAGGTGCCGGGTGGGGGCGGAAGGGATCAGAATGGTCTACCCCTACATGCCTAGGAAGAGCCATGTGGGGCATTAGGGGGCAGGTCCTTCCCAGCAAACCAGGATCCTCCAGAATGGTGTATTAAAAGCCAGCATTTGTGACATAAATCTTCCTTCTCAAGACCAAGTGTGCTCCTACAGCAAGAGGTGGCAAGAATCATGTACCCTCACCTCTTTAGACTACAGGCTGAATAAACAGTTTGGAATGCTTCCCCAAAGTTATAGAAAGAACTACAACTATGGGCTCCCTTTATAATATATGCACACGAGAGCTATTGCACTCCACCACTGCTGGATAGCTCAGTGGTTTAGGCATCTGATAGCGGAGTCAAATGTTGGGAGTTCGATTCCCCCATGGGGCCTCCTTGACAGAGTCTGGACTCTGTGATCCACAGGGTCCCTTCCCGCTCTGCCGTTCTAAGAGGATGATGGTGGTGATGATCTATTTTGAATATTTATTTATTAATTAGATTTTTATCCTGCCCTTCTAGACACAATAAATTATTCATAAAAACAATTAAAACAACGATTTACCGTGTTTTTCCGTGTATAAGACGCCCCCGCTTTTCTAATCCAAAATTAAGAAAAATAAGTGGGGCTTAGCAAATGTAGGGGGAAAGGGATCAAAGCGCTGCAGGATTGCTTTGATCCCTGCTTTCCCCGCCACTTGTTTTTGTTGTCTCCTCAGCTTACTTCCGTGTATAAGACGAGCCTCAATTTTTAGTCTAAAGATTTTAGACAAAAGTATAGTCTTATACATGGAAAAATATGGTACATCGACAATATTAATATTAATCAAGATGGAGAATATGAAACAAAAGATAAAGTAAAAAGTAAAAGTCAAATATGAGGTGATTTCTGCATTTTTTTTTGTTTTGTTTTTTGGTTCCTTCCCTGTGATTGTTGGATTGTGGAAATGTATTTGTTTTTCTTTTAATAATAACATTAGTTCAGAAAAGAAAAGAAAAGAAAAGAAAGAAAACGAAGGCCGCACAACTAGTTAAGCTGAGGCAGAGAAGAAGCGATCACCCATTGTGAGCTAGATTTTTATTTCTTGGGCATGGAGGAGTTTATTTCTGTTTTCTAGAAAGGAATCTTAGCGGGAGCAGGAATTAGAATCCAAAGTTCCTTCTTCATACGTCAACCCTCATCAACAGTGAGCGTGTAAGTTGTGCAATTCTGGGGAGTGTAGTCCAGAAAAGTAACTTCTCCAAGCTCTGGTAAAAGCCATGACGGAAAGGTAAGGGGCTGGCACGAGAGGGCTTGCTCAGATGATGAGCCATTACTACATGGCACCAACTATGCTAATAATAAAATGCAAAGCAGTACGTAGCTGTCAACTAATGGATCTATAACAGATCCCTCTGCTTTGAGCATTCTGGCCCTGCCTCAACTCATTTTGATCTATGGTTGCTTTCTTAATTCAGCCAAATTAAAAGCGCCACACGCAGGGTACTAAAAGATACCTGGAGCCATTGTAAACACAATAAAAAGCAGAAAAGCAAAACGCTGTCTCATCAATTGAAAAGGAACAGGCAGGCCGCTGAGATAAGAAAAAAGAAGCATCCTTTCCGAGTGAGACTATTTGGGAAATACAAGCAGATGGAACATCACAGACCGAAAAGAGTGTGAAGAATGATAGGAAAGCCTGCAAGTTACTCTGAGTGAGGGCGACATACCCAGACACATGCACTGGAGAAATTAGGATCACCAGACAAGCTGTGCAAATAAATCACATGAGAGTATGAAGAGTGTCCAGCTGGATCAGAACGAGCAAAGGTCCTTCATCAAAGTGTGAGAATGGTACTTCTTTTGAAATAAAACCTCTGGAAAATCAGAGTCTCTGTTGGGTATTCTGAAAGTTGTAGTTCAAGGATTGGAGCCTCAGCTTCAGGATCTGCTCTAGTTTGTTTCTCCATCATCTTGTCTTCCATAGCAGACAACCCGATGTCCTCATGAAACCGGCTCACAGGAAGTGAAAAGGCCTTTGGGGAGTTACCGTTCCAAGAACATCGGAAGACGCATGATTTGGGAACCCCTGCAAAAGTGAAACAGCGCTAAACGGGGTCATGCTACTTGTTGTTGTTTAGTTGTTAAGTCGTGTCCGACTCTTCGTGACCCCATGGACCAGAGAACGCCAGGCCCTCCTGTCTTCCACTGCCTCCCGGAGTTGGGTCAAATTCGTGTTGGTCGCTTCAATGACACTGTCCAACCGTCTCGTCCTCTGTCGTCCCCTTCTCCTCTTGCCTTCACATTTTTCCATCATCAGGGTCTTTTCCAAAGAATCTTCTCATCAGATGGCCAGAGGATTGGAGCCTCAGCTTCAGGATCTGTCCTTCCAGTGAGCACTCAGGGTTGATTTCCTTCAAAATGGATAGGTTTGTTCCCTTGCAGTCCAGGGACTCTCAAGAGCCTCCTCCAGTACCACAATTCAAAAGCATCAATTCTTTGGCGGTCAGCCTTCTTTATGGTCCAGCTCTCACTTCCATACATCATTATCACTTCCATACATCATATGCTAGGGAAAGCACTAATATAAATCCAGAGGGCCTACACAAGAGCCATTCATGGCCTGAGCCTGGGTTGGAGGTTCAGCCCATCGCTCTTGGGGAAGTTCTTTTCATGGACTATGACTCCCAGAAGCCCCCAACCCAGCAGCCCCATGGGCTGGGCCATTTGAAGAGCTGCGATCTAAAGAAGGCATTCCCCCTAAGCCCCTTCTCCTTTTCCTTAGCGTGACATGTGTTGCTCGCTAAGCGTGCCGACAGGTCTGAGCTGAACCTGGGAGTCTCTCTCTCTCTCTTTCTCTCCCTCTTTTGAGAGGCCAGAAGAAGAGTGGGACGTTGGGGAAACTGGATCATCTTACCACTCACCTTTCATGCCACTCCCTTCTTCCTGGAATGTGTTACGGGCAGAAGTCTGATCTTCTAAATGTTCACTCCCACCACTTCCCGAAGAGGCTACGCTGCTTTGAGGAGAGAGGGGGGCGTGGTCGGAGGGGACGGCTTGGGGTCCTCTAGCTCGCAGGTCCTCGTGAGACATCCATCCGTGTCCTAGAGGCTGGCTGGGCACAGTCATGGGTGGGGTGAGGGACACAGACCGTTTCAAAGGGCTGTGGTGGGTCTGGCTTGAGAGAACTGAAACGAACAAATAAGCAGACAAAAGTGGGAACAGGATTAAAAGCACGATACTCTCCCCCACTCTCCAAGGGCTCAATGGATCAAAACCATCAACGGCTTTGTCCAATCTAAACAAGAGACATTGAATGGGAAAGGCGGTTGCTAAACTGCAGTACTGCAGTCCAGAGTCTGCTGACAAACTGAGTTCAATCCCAAGAGGCTCATGTAGTCAGCTCAAGGTTCACTCCGCCTTCCATCCTTCCAAGGACAGTAAACTGAGTGTCCAGTTCACTGTGGGGGAGGGAGGGGGCAGTGTTTGGGCTGCATAATTAAATTCCAAACTGCCCAGAGAGTGCATTAAGCTCTATTTGGTGGTATATAAGAAGCACATCTTAATATTTTTTGCTTTCAACGACAGAGCAAAAAGGCATGGGAAGGTCTGAGGCATGGGCATGACTCTGGATTACAACCATAGCACTGGTTCATTTCGTAACTTTGGTGCTCCGAATAGTCTGTTAACCTGATAAGGATTTCTATGAAACTCAAAACTGTGCTGCACTACTAAGTACGCTAAAACGTCACTTGAGCAATATATACGAGATTTGTGTTCGAAAACATGAGCTCCAAAAGATGGGTGAGTGAGGAGGTGGAGGCAAGCATCTCTACAAATTACTTTTCTGTATTATAATTTTCAGAACTAGAGATGGGCATGAACCATGGTTTGGCAGTTCAGATCGGTGCCGGCACAATGTTCCGAGAGCACCACGTGCTTCCCTGCTCCGCAGAATCACCCATGCGCTTCCCTCCTCTGTGTGACTGCCCACTTGCCAGCAGCAGTGTGTGCTTCCCTTCTCTGCCTCCTCTGTTGGCTGCCCACTCAGATCAGGAGGCGGGGCAGGGAAGCCTGTGGCACTGCTGGGGTGTGTGTGTGGATGACTACATCAATGAGGCGTGGAGGCACATGCAGAACACCGGTGCGGTTCCTGCCCATCTCTACTCAGAACTCCTAACAGGCATGGCCATGGGCACCGAGGGATTCTGGGAGTGGTAGTCCAGAAAAACAAGAGCCTCCACTTTTTGCCCTTTCTCCCCTTTGGTCAATTTTAGCACAGGAACCTGGTTGGAGGCCACCCATCTCGTTCTGACAAAGTGGTTCAAAGGTAGGAGGACACCCGGAGACAGATTTCCGTGGAAAGTGGAACAGGATTATATAGGATTCATGTTTTATTTGCAGTGCCAATTGTGAACTAGACAGCAAGACCCTGTGGGATATCCGGATCCAAACGGAGAGAGACCTTGAATGTAACACCAGACACTGTATAATAAAACAAAAATCATTGACATGGCAATTCCAGGGAATGCCAGAATTGAAGATAAAGAATTGCAAAAACTAACAAAATACAGAGACATCTCGCCTCTGGATGAAACACACTTCAGTGGTCCCCGTAGTCATTGGGGCTTTGGGAACAATATCAAGAAATTTCACACATAAGCAGTTGCAGATCTCAGAAACAACACTATCAGAGCTACAAAAAGGGCAATATTAGGAACAGCATACTTACTGTGCTGATATTTAAGACACTTAGATTCTTGGTTAAAACTTTTATCTATTATATAATTAATACCAGTCAATGTTTTTATAATTTTGATTGACTGTGCCTGGTGTTTTTGATTAATAATAATAACAACCTATGAACTGCAGAGCTGGAAGGGACCCTATTGATTATCAAGCCCAGCTCCTGTTAAAGAGGCCAAACGGGGAATTGAACTCCCACCCGCAGGTTTCGCAGCCAGAGACCTAAGGCACTGAGACACCCAGCAATTCATCACACAGTTCCTTTCTCCGTGTCTACTGGGCTTCCTTTCCATCTGTATCTATATTTAATTTTATTATTTCATGCCGCTTAAGAAATGAAGTTTTGACAAGGAGGCGAAGCTGCGCCCAGGAAGATGTTGGTCAGAGAAATGCAGAGGAAGACGCCATTTGTATTTGCAAAGCTGACTTCCTTGTTACTTTTCCTACTAGAAGCAGAATAGGAAACAGCTAACAATGGTTCCCAACCTTGGGTCCCCAGATGTTCTTGGACTACAAGCCCCACAAATCGTGGCCAGCAGAGCTAGTGGGGGAGGCTTCTGGGAGTTTTAGTCCAAGCATATCTGGGGATGCTTGATGGGGAGTCATTGAGTCTGAGACACAAACTTTCACAGCCTGGCCAGATGCAAGAAAGAAAGAAGCAACTAGTAGCTTCCTTCTCCCAGGTCTGATGTTGTGTAGCTTTATTCGCTTCCCATTTCCTACATAAGGCAAAGGTAAAGGTTCCCCTTGACATTTAGTCCAGTCGTGACCGACTCTAGGGTGCGGTGCTCATCCCCGTTTCCAAGCCATAGAGCCAACGTTTGTCCATAGACAGTTTCCATGGTCACGTGGCCAGTGCAACTAAATACGGAATGCTGTGACCTTCCCACCGAGGTGGTCCCTATTTATCTACTCGCATTTTACATGCTTTCAAACGGCTAGGTTGTCAGGAGCTGGGACGAGCAATGGGAACTTCCTCCGTTGCGTGGATTCGATCTTACGATGGCTGGTCTTCTGACCTTGCAGCACAGAGGCTTCTGAGGTTTAACCTGCAGCGCCACCACGTCCCCCATTTCCCACATACCCTCCTGCAAAAGCAGTGTTGGAACCGGTTCTTGGGGAGTTAACAGAGACAGTAATTTTGGCACCTGTAGCCACGGGATCATCTCAGTGAAAACCCAACAACCCAGTGGCTTCTGATCTGGTCAAGAGCCAAAGACCTTGCAAACGATCTCCAAGACACTTTTCAGCCAGTGGATCACACAGATAACAGTGTCCCACTGTATACATTCAGCAAAATATTCTGCTCCCTCCCACGTGGCAAAATATATGGATCTTTTTCCATTGAAAGATATATAGGCAGAGAGTTCTGCTAATTTTTTATTTCTTCCTCTGGTGAACGAATTGGAAGACCGGTCATATTTTGTGCTAGTACCTCCTGCCCTCTACACTCACAGATTTGCTCTTTCGGTCCTTTTTCTCCCCACCAAAGCATTATTCCTTGAGCTATCGGAGTAACTGTTGGCCTTGGCTCACAGCAGATGCCAGGTGCTTTCTATATTATTCATTTCATTACATAATTTCAGTGAAATAAAAGTCTCCTAACTCATTGCAAGGCATAAAACTCTTGGAGCGTAGAACAGATGGCTAGTGCCATCACCGTTGCTAAAATAAAAGGAAGTGAAACAGAAAGAGCAATCAGGCAGAGACAGGAGCCAACATTTTGCAAACTTCCCTTGCTACAGAAATCCAAAATAAACAACTCCATGAATATCTGATCCGAAGATGGGATGCAGAAAATTTCATCTGATTCATAATTCTTCGATTAACATGTAGAGCAGAATGCAATTCAGGGTTTTTTTTTGTTTTTTTTTTGCAAATGCTATGCTACAGCTTCTGCTTAAAAACGTGGGAAGGATTGATTATAGGATGTGTATTTTAGGAAACAGTACATATAAATATCCATATTTTAGAGTAATATATACATGAAAGGTAAAGGTAAAGGTTCCCCTTGACATTGAGTCCAGTTGTGTCCGACTCTAGGGCACGGTGCTCATCCCCATTTCCAAGCCACATAGCCAGCATTTTGTCCATAGACAGTTTCCGTGGTCTCGTGGCCAGCGCACCTAGACACAGAACGCCGTGACCTTCCCACCGAGATGGTACCTATTTATCTACTCACATTTGCATGCTTTCGAACTGCTAGGTTGGCAGGAGCTGGGACAAGCGACGGGAGCTCCCTCTGTCGCATGGATTCGATCTTACGACGGCTGGTCTTCCGACCTTGCAGCCCAGAGGCTTCTGCGGTTTAACCCGCAGCGCCACCATGTCCCTCTATAAACATGAAAGGATGTATTTAAAGACAACTTGCATAAAACTTTTTTAAAATCAATGCTCATTTTTTGTGAAGGAGAGAGAGTGAGCCATCCTCCCCAGACAGAGGAGCGGAAGGAGGAACAGAGTGTGTGGAGGGCATATTGGTGGAGGTAGAGACAGACAATAGGGAGGTGCAGAATCCTAGAGACGATAGAGGGGAGGAGCTTGATTTGATGATATTGGAAGATATAACTGAGGACGAAAAGATGGGAAGCTTCAGAGTGGTAAGGAGTGAGCCGGCTGATAAGAGAGATAGATCAGTGGGACGAAAAGACGGGAAGCTTCAGAGTGGTAAGGAGCGAGCCGGCTGATAAGAGAGATAGATCAGTGCAGACAGAATGGAGCATGTGCCAGGAGAGTTTCCTCAAGCTGCTTAAGGAATTCCCAAACTTACAAGTTGATGGAGTATTATTGCTGGGACCTCCTGATTTCTTCGCGCGCGGACAAGAGGTAGACCCCCTTGGAATGGACTGTGGTGGTTTACCCCCGCAATCAGCGTGGGGGGAGGAGCGTGATCCGTCCCAGGCCCTCTTTACTCCAGAGTCAGCGGGAAGGGGACTGGGCGAGACACCCTTGTTGTAGGACGGTCTGTGCGGTCAGAACCACACCGATCCGGCCTATGACGAACCGGGAGCGCTTTGGACCAGCCCCCCCCCCCAGTAAGAAGAAAGGACAAAGAAATGAACACTCAAGTTCGGAGTTATAAGTTGTTGCCAGAGTTAAGTTTAATGGACCCGTTCGAGCCATCCGAGTTGAGTTTGTTTACTAATAAAACTGAGTCTGTTAGAACAGAAGAACAGCCTCCTGTCCTTTTTCCTGCGCTGTCAATGGAACCGCCCATGGCAGAACCAACACGTATTCACATTTTTGTTAATTTGCTAACCAGGTAGTATGTACCTATGAATGAAAATATGTGAAATGGGCGTGGGCTAGGAAGAGAATCATAGAATAATGAAGTTGGAAGGGGCTTGTAAGGCCATCAAGTCCAACTCCCTGCTCAATGCAGGAATGCATCTCAAAGGAGATCTGCCAAGTGGTTGTCTATGTTTCTCTTGAATGCTTCCAT